GCAAAAAAGTGAAGCTAATTGTGTAGACCAATCCAATCAAAAAATTATATCGAATTGCAGGTGCGTTTGCTATCAGCAAACTACTAACTGACTTGTCGTTTGCCATTAATCCGAGTTATTCTCTTCTCGCTTTGATCAGTACTTTGGGGTTTAATCCAAATTTCGTTCTTTCAGTTGCATGCAGTGAAACACTTTTTTGAAATGAATGATGAATGAAAGCTTTATTGAATAAAAGTGGCTCCAAAAACACTTTATTCGATAATTCGTCAAAAATGCCTTGCTAATGAGAAAAAAATTAAGTTTTTGCCACTTAAGAATCAATGCTTTTGCAATTTACTGCAAAAACCGTGAACTTATATTTGCGCCCAGTTCGTACATCGCAACTTTTTAAAACTGGTCCTTGAAGAAAAATGCTCCATAAAAGACGACGAAGAATTCGTCAAAATGCCTTGCGTATGGCAGAAAAATTAAACTTTTGCCACGTATGAACCAAAGTTTTTCTTATTCATTGCAAAAACGGAGACATTTGTGTTTCCGCGCAGTTCTGACAGATTAACTTTTTAAACCCGGTCTTTAAAAAAATGACTCCAAAAAAACTTCATTCCAAAATTTATCAAAAATTCCCTGCTTACGACAGAAAAATGAGTCTTTTGTCACTTACGAAGCAAATATTTTCCTATTTAATGCTAAAACGGCCACATTTGTGTTTCCGCCCAGTTCTAAGAATTTAATTTTTTTGAATCCTGTCTTTAAAAAAATTGCTCCAAAAAAGACTTTGTTTGAAAATTTTTCAAAAATTCCCTGCTTACGATTGAAAAAGGAAACTTTTACGACTTATAAATCAAAGTTTTTCCTAATGAAGGCAAGACGGACCACATTTATATTTCCTCTCACTTCGGATATATCAATTTTTGAAAGCTGGTCTACGCAAAAAAATGACTCCAAAACAAACTTTGAAAATTCTTCAAAAATTCCCTGCGTACGTTAGAACATTAAAACTTTTAGGACTTATGAATCACAGTTTTTCCTATTTAATGCAAAACCGACCAGATTTAGATTTCACTCTCACTTCGACGATATCAATTTTTAAAGCTGGTCTTCGCAAAAAAAATACTTCAAAAATACTTTGAAAATTAGCCAAAAATTGCCTGCTCATGGCAGAAAAATGCAACTTTTATCACATATGAACCAAATTTGATCTTATTCATTGCAAGAACTGCCACATTTGTGTTTTCTCCCAGTTCCGAGA